ATAGAGGCAAAAATCCTGAACAAAATACTAGCAAACAGAATCCAACAACACATTAAAAGGATCATACACCATGTTCAAGTGGGATTTATCCCAGGGATGCAAGGATTCTCCAATATATGCAAATCAATCAATGGGATACACCACATTAGCAAATTAAGGAATAAACATCATATGATCATCTCAGTAGATGCAGAAAAAGCTTTTGACAAAATTTAATACCGATCTATGATAAAAACTCCCCAGAAAATGGGCATAGAGGGAACCTACCTCAACATAATAAAGGCCATATATGACAAACCCACAGCAAGCATCATACTCAATGGTGAAAAACTGAAAGCATTTCCACTAAGATCAGGAATAAGACAAGGATGTCCACTCTCGCCACTCTTACCCAACATAGTTTTGGAAGTCCTAGCCGCAGCAATCAGAGAAGAAAAAGAAATAAAAGGAATACAAATTGGAAAAGAAGAAGTAAAACTGTCTCTGTTTGCAGATGACATGATATTATATATAGAAAATCCAAAGATGCCACCAGAAAACTGCTAGAACTAATCAATGAATTTGGTAAGCTTGCAGGATACAAAATTAATGCACAGAAATCTCTGGCATTCCTATACAACAGCAACGAAAAATCAGAAAGAGAAATTAAGGAAACGCTCCCATTTACCATTGCAACAAAAGGAATAAAATACCGAGGAATAAACCTGCCTAAGGAGGCAAAAGACTTGTACTCAGAAGACTATAAAACACCGATGAAAGAAATCAAAGATAACATAAACACATGGAGAAATATATCATGCTCTTGGATTGGAAGAATCAATATTGTGAAAATGACTATACTACCCAAAGCAATCTACAGATTCAATGCAATCCCTATCACAATACCAATGGCATTCTTCACAGAATTAGAACAAAAAATTTCACAATTCGTATGGAAACACAAAAGACCCCAAACAGCCAAAGCAATCTTGAGAAAGAAAAACGGAGTTGGAGGAATCAGGCTCCCCAACTTCAAACTATACCACAAAGCTACAGTAATCAAGACAGTATGGTACTGGCACAAAAACAAATGTAGATCAACAGTACAGGATAGAATGCCCAGAGATAAACCCACACACATATGGGCACCTAATTTATGACAAAGGAGGCAAGAACATACAATGGAGAAAAGTGGTGCTGGGAAAACTGGACAGCTACATGTAAAAGAATGAAATTAGAACACTCCCTAACACCATACACAAAAATAAACTCAAAATGGATTAAAGACCTAAATGTAAGACCAGACACTATAAAACTCTTAGAGGAAAACATAGGAAAAACACTGTTTGACATAAACCACAGCAATATCTTTTTTGACCCACCTCCTACAGTAAAGGAAATAAAAACAAAAATACACACATGGGACTTAATTAAACTTAAAAGCTTTTTCACAGCAAAGGAAACCATAAACAAGACAAAAAGACAACCCTCAGGATAGGAGAATATATTTGCAAATGAAACAACAAAGGATTAATTTCCAAAATATACAAACAGCTCATGGAGCTCAATATCAAAAAAACAAACAATTCAATTTAAAAATCGGCGGAAGACCTAAATAGACATTTCACCAAAGAATACATACAGATGGCCAAGAGGCACATGAAAAAATGCTCAACATCACTAATTACTAGGAAAATGCAAATCAAAACTACAATGAGGGGCTTCCCTGGTGGCGCAGTGGTTGAGAGTCTGCCTGCCAATGCAGGGGACACGGGTTCGTGCCCCGGTCCGGGAAGATCCCACATGCCGCAGAGCGGCTGGGCCTGTGAGCCATGGCCGCTGAGCCTGCACATCCGGAGCCTGTGCTCCGCAACGGGAGAGGCCACAACAGTGAGAGGCCCGCGTACCGCAAAAAAAAAAAAAAAGAGTGTATAATTAATAAACTAATACGAAGAAAAAAGAACACTCCAACAATGAAAGTTAGTGGAGATGTTGAAATAGGTAATACACTTTCCAGAGATTTAAAACAAACCAGTCAATAAAATCTCACTAGAGTTATGCAATGGATACCTTATTAAATCTTCTTTGATTTGCATGCTCTCCTCTAATTAGCGGGAAAAAAGTCAAAAGCCAAAAATCAAAACATATTTACAAAAGCCAGCAACATCAAGTAATAAACATGGTTGTCTATTAAATATTATTTCTGAGGTATAGAAAAATGAAACAAAGCTAATGAAAAGATGGGTTTGGAATATTCATTCTGGAATCAATTTCATTCAACAAAGTAATTAAGAAGTCTATTGTGTATCAACTGACTCTGCCTAAACACACAAAAAAATTCAAAAAAATTGAACTCCTAAAAAATAACAAATACCGGAAAGATACCCCAGCTTGGATAAGCAAACATATGAAGCTGCAGGTATTGAACCACACAGAACTTTCAAAACACAGAAACGTGAACTCTGCGTTCAGCAGGAGAGTCGATCTAAATTTAAAAATCATTGTTCAGGTAAAGATAATGTTATGGACTGCATGCACCTGCCCGTCTCCAAATTCGTATGATGGGATCCTAATCGCCAGTATGATGCCATCTCGCGATGGGACCCTTGGGATCTCATTTAGGTCTTAAGGGCTGAGAATAGTGCTCTTATAAGAGACTCGAGAGAGCTTGCTTCTCCCTCTCTCTTCGCCGTAAGAGGCCACAGCGAGAAGGTGGCTGTCTGCAAACCAGGAAGACAGCCCTCACCCGTCAGTGAATCTGCCGGCACCCTAACCCTGGACTGCCTGGCCTCCAGACTGTGAGAAATAAACGTTTACTCTTTAACCCACCCAGTCTATGGTAATTTTGTTACAGCAGCCCAAACTAAGACAGAATACATGCGATATACTATTAAACAATAAGGTCAAGGAAAATGCACTATTACATGAAAAGGAAAATACTATGCATTCTGTATAAGTTTATGTTTCCGATGTTGAATATTTCTAAAATACTAACAAAATCACTGAGAAAGGATGGCATGTTCAATTATCATGTACAGCTGACCCTTGAACAAAGCAGGGGTTAGGAGAGGTGACCCTCTGCACAGCTCCAAATCCACATGTAACTCACGGTTGGCCCCCTGTATGCGTGGTTCCTCTGTACCTGGCCCGCACCTGTGGATTCAAGCCACTGCAGATGCTGCAGTGCCACAGCATTTACTATTGAAAAAAATCCTCATATATGTGAAGCCGCGCAGTTCAAACCCATGTTGCTCACGGGTTAACAGTACATGAGTTTTCTACCAGGACAAAATTTTCCAAGTTTACTACCAATACAGACAAAAGGGCTCTCTGAGAAGACTTGAATCACTCAGTCCACATTCTAACAGAGTTGTACTTGGCTTTCTTACCAACAGAAGATACTATACATATCTGCAGTTCAAGAAAGTAAGTAGGTTTAGCTTTAGTCAGGGGAACACAAAAAAGATGTGTTTTCGTGAGCAATTAATCAACTGATCTATATTTGTATATGGAGAAAATGAACAAAATCTTTAACATAGGTATCAGATTCAAGAGTAGTAACCTAGGGCTTCCCTGGTGGCGCAGTGGTTGAGAGTCCGCCTGCGAATACAGGGGACGCGGGTTCGTGCCCCGGTCTGGGAAGATCCCACATGCCGCAGAGCGGCTGGGCCCATGAGCCATGGCCGCTGGGCCTGCGCGTCCAGAGCCTGTGCTCCGCGGCAAGGGAGGCCGCGACGGTGAGTAGGCCCGCGTACCAAAAAAAAGAAAAGAGTAGTAACCTAGCGCCATATTATTTCAGCACCTTCATATGTTTTAGGGAACGAGATATGACCCATGCTCATCTCAATTCATGTGATAATGAACAGTGTCAACTGACTTAAGGGCAGGCCTCCCCACTGATGTGTTTAAAAACCAACACTAAAGACTTCTCAAGTCATATTTCTGTGCGCATCATTATATTTAATAGATAACAAATCTAACGAAAAATACTACTCAATTTTATTTCTACAATGACTGAAATGCCTACATCCAAACAAACGAACAAACAAGCAGAATTCTACATGTTTCTTGAGTCCATCTGAACCTTCTGAGGTAGCACACCACACTGGACAGAACACTGGGCTCAGATGTCAGGAAGAAGTGTGGGGCTTGACAGGTGACCTTAACGTCTCTGAGAGCCAGTGACATCACGTAAAGTGAGGAAGTAATGTCTAACTTATGCACTTGCTATGAAAATTAAATGAAAAATATTTTAAGAGAGAAAAGAGAAGTGGGATGCAATCAGTAACTATTTTTAAAAGCGGGGTGGGGGCAGGAGGTAAAGTTAAAACTACCTACCCTAAGCCAGAAAGTTTACTTTATTGTGTTAGGTCTTTCCTTTCCCTGGGGTGTGACTCCTGGCAAGTCTTTTAGCTTCTGTTTTTTTCACGGCTAAAATGGGGTAAATAACGTGCTCTCTCATCAGGTTATCGTAAGGATCAAATGAGTTAACATACACGAAAGCATTATGAGAACAACAAATGAACAATAAGTGAAAGAAAAAAACCCCAAACCCCCACAACTTTTCTTGATAGAAAAGCCAAGCAGGCAAAAAAGAGAAATTATGATTTCTCAGTTCCTGGCACACAGAATTTGACCTTTGTACAACCTACTTCAAGCAGCGCTCACACCTCACAGTAGTCACTGTGTGACCGTCTCCTCACTAGACTGGCACTGCATGAGAGGCAGCAACGTCCCCGTTGGCTTTTCAGCAGCTGAACGCATCGTCAGCTGATGCTTGCTGCACCTGATCTTCCCGTTAAACAAGCAATACATTAAGCAGCAGAAGACGGCTCCCCTTGGTGGCGCAGTGGTTGAGAGCCCGCCTGCCGAGGCAGGGGACGCGGGTTCGTGCCCCGGTCCGGGAAGATCCCACATGCCGCGGAGCGGCTGGGCCCGTGAGCCATGCTCCGCGACGGGAGAGGCCACAACGGTGAGAGGCCCACGTACCGCAAAAAAAAAAAAAGAAGTAGAAGAATTACCATTTTCTTTCCGTAATCTTGTTATGAACTTCTTAGGAGGTATGACTCCAACCTTTTTCTTCTGGGTAGCGATGCTGTGGAAGAGGTCTGCTAAGCACGTAAGAAGACTCTCCTTCTTCCTAGGTTGACTCTTGTACGCGAGAACTTTTTCCCGAAATGGACGACAAAAATAAAGTGCTTGAAGAACTGAATTGCAGTAGCAAGTATTCCCAAACTAGAATAGAAAAAAACATTTTTGTTAAATTTGAGGCAACACAGCTTTCAGAGAAAGAATGTCTATGTCTAAAGCTGAGAGAAGAGAAAGACAAGATAGGGAATTGATGATCCTCATAACTTAAAAGGTATCTGAGAGTACAAATAATTGTCCTGATTGCAAATTACCCATTCTAACATTAAATGGATGCTCTTGGCATCAGTTTCAGGTTCAAACGGAAGAAAAATACATGCAATAAATTTGGCCTTTATTAAAACTGAGTTAAAGAACTACATAGTTTAAATAGTGAGATTAGTTAAGGTTTAGGCTTCTGGCGAATTCCTTTTCCAATTCCCATTGTTATGATAGTACTGGTTGTATACAAAGCATTTTCTATACTGTACGTGTAAAAATGTAACTCTCAAAAATTCTTTTAAAAAAAACATAAGAGTGAGGTTTACTATCAGGTTCTTCAGTGCCATCCAAAAAATAAACAAAAACAAAAAATAAGGAAAAACAAGATACTCTGAAATATTAGATGAAAAAGTCATCAACGTGACAGCCTAACAACCACTGAAATGCTGAAATGCCAGGTCACATTATTCTCCATCCGTCAGAAGGACGTGGACTCGGATCCAGAGTTGAACCCTGAACTGCAGCCCCACCTCTCACTGGCCACGTGGCCTGGAGCAGGTGACTGATCACTCAGCCTCAGTTTCCTTCTCTTTAATAACAGGGGAGAAAGTCATCCTACTTTACAGAGAAAATAACACAGGGTTTAATAACTATTTTTCGCCTTCTTTTTTCCTTCCCATTAATAGACACTGACTCCCAAAGCTGGCTAATAAAACCCCTAGAAGTCCATCACTGAGGAGCTGGGGAGTAAACAAGGGACGAGGATAGTTCTCAGAGAACTGCCACGGGGCGGGGTCAGGCATACAGTAACCAGAAACAGGCAAGTGGAGAAGAATGCTGAAGAACGGGCACTCTTCAATTATGTCCATAAATACATGCACACGTTTGCTTATATTTTAAAACTAGGAAGAATATATCAAAAGCTAATAAAAATGGTTATATATAGAGAAAGGGAAAAGAGTAAGAGCAATGAAAGTGAGGCTGCTGTACACGTACACGGTTATAAAAAGTTTACCTTGTAACCATATTTTTAAAAACTAAATTAAAATGAAAAAGACAGAATAAATTCCTAAAATTGAAAATAAATAGAAATAAATCAGACCTAAACGTGTACCAAGTTGGTGGTAGAACTACGTAAAGAAAAGAGTGAGGGCTTCCCTGGTGGTGCAGTGGTTAAAAATCCGCCTGCCAATGCAGGGGACACGGGTTCGAGCCCTGGTCCGGGAAGATCCCACACGCTGCAGAGCAACTAAGCCTGTGTGCCACAACTAGAGCCCACGAGCCACAACTACTGAAGCCCATGCGCTTAGAGCCCGTGCTCCGCAACAAGAGAAGCCACCGCGATGAGAAGCCGGCACCACAAGGAAGGGTAGCCCCCACTCGCCACAACTAGAGAAAGCCCGTGCACAGGAAAAAAACCCCAACACAACCAAATAAATTTTAAAATAAATAATAAAGCTTTTTAAAAAAAGAAAAGAATGACTTCAAATAACTTTAAAACACAGGATTTTTACTGTCCATGCCTACTGAACTACAGTCTAAGAACAAAAAGAACAAAGAAGTCTTAAAACAGCATTCAGTACTCACACTGTTAGAATTAACCCATTGATATTGCTGTTTTGAAACCACTAAAGGTATACTGTAAGACAAAGCAAGGAAGGAATGATGTTAATATCCCCTAGGAATCAAAAAAAATGTTTTAAAATTTATTTTTGGCTGTGTTAGGTCTTCGTTGCTGTGCACAGGCTTTCTTCAGTTGTGGCGAGCAGGGGCTACTCTTCGTTGGGGTGCGTGGGCTTCTCACTGTGGTGGCTTCTCTTGTTGTGGAGCACGGGCTCTAGGCGCATGGGCTTCAGCAGTTGTGGTGCACGGGCTCAGTAGTTGTGGCTCGTGGGCTCAGTAGTTGTGGCATGCGGGCTCTAGAGTGCAGGCTCAGTAGTTGTGGTGCATGGGCTTAGTTGCTCTGCAGCACGTGGGCTCTTCCTGGACCAGGGCTCAAACCCACGTCTCCCGCATTGGCAGGCAGATTCGTAACCACTGTGCCATCAGGGAAGCCCATAATCAAATTTTTTAACGTAAAGGAAAAAAGATACAATAGTAAAAGTCAGAAGAGTAAAAGCCCTTTAAAGTTAAATTGGAATTAGAAATAGCAGTATAAACTCATGCCTCTTTGTAAATCTCAAAGTGTGTGTGTGTGTTTGCGTTCTCAGGTTCTGTCCACTGAAAAGGCCTCCACATCAATAAATTTCCCCTGCATCCAGATTGTGGCCTCTAAAAACCCTTTTCCCACAGAAAGGAACTAGGACGACTTACTGATATGGCTATACAACGCAATGGACAGGAAATGTACAATGTACAAGATTAGCCTGGAATATCTTTTTGTGTGGCTTGAAGAGCCAACTTTCATCAAAAAAGAATTACTGCAATGGATTAAAAAGCACATCAACTACACAAATATCTATGTGGTTTATTAGTCTCCAGTGGAAGTTGTAAACAAGAATATAAAAAAGGAAAGCATCAAAGTTTTACCCCACCTTTCTCATAAAAACCGTATTTCAGGGGGCATTTAAAGTTATTGTTTAGAGAATAATTCTGGCTAATAAATCCAGAAGAAATCATTGTAAATAATGGATTGGGTGATAATTATCCCTGGATACCTAAAACATCTGGTTAAAGGTTGGGGGGGAACTTTAAAATGGGGGGCTCAGACCTGAACGCCCAATGCATTCCAGCATCACTCAAAATGAACAGCCAAAACTTTACATCCCGTGATGTGGTGCACCAAGAAATATGTAGCAATTCCTATAAAGTATTCTTGCCTTAAAAAACAAAATAAAATCCCTAAACTTTAACCAAGTGTCTAGATTGAACTACCAATTTACAAGATACTCAGGGAACAGAGGAAGAAGTTAAATACCCCAAAAAAGGAACAGGACAACGGACTCAGCGAAGATTTACAACTTCTATGTTCACATTGCTAGTCGGAGCCAAGAACTGATTTCGTAAAGACAGATGTGTTTACAGGCTTTCCAGAGAAATGCTAAAAGTATATGACAATGATGCATAGATATCATTGATCATGAATACAACCATGGATATCCTTCAATAAAGCCTATCCAGGGGCTAAGTACACCTGCAGTAGAATCTCCAATACTACTAAGGTTATCTTACCAATTAATCAGTATTAATTAGTCTGAAAAATACTAGTAATTGTACAACAGTCTAATGACTCCAATGACCAACAAACTATGGCTCTGTAAACTGAACAGAAGATACAATCCCCATAATTTGGACATTTTATTAAAGAATAAACAACAGGGAACTCTAACAACTTCCACAGAGCAGGCAGATAAACAAAAGACAGCAGCTCACAGTATATTAGAAACATTTATGATGATGAAGCTTGACCCACTAATAAAATAGCAAATAAAATAAGCGATGGAACTGGCATGTGGAGAATGCTGAAGTCCGCCTCCTGCTAAGCTTCTGACTACAAGCAATAGGTAACATTACAACCAACCTTGGAGGCTTTCTACTATGGTCTTCTTTACTTACCTTCATCAACCCCATTAAAGAAAAAGTAAAGGTTGAAACTACTACTATTTCTCCAGAATAAACTAACTTTCAATCTTATTCGTAACTTTGAAGCTTTTCCTTCAATTTCCCTGATTTTTAGTAGTGACTTTCACTGAAGTTTCTGAAACCTAAAAACACATCGTTCAAGTATATAGCTTTCATGCAAAAGACTGTCTGGGATGATTTCCTCTGCACTCTTGCTTCTGAATAGGATTGAAACCTACCCTGTGCTTTTTCAGCTGGTTCTGAAGATCAAAGGCATGACCAGGTTTAAAATCAGGGGAAACAAATATTAAAGACCTGATCACTGACTTCTCAATTGTTTATTGAACACAGTGACCTATCCCTGCTTTCTCTGAGTCTTGGGGAAAAAAAAAAAAAAAAAGATTTCTCATATCCCCATCAATAAGATCATTTTGAGCACATATCCCTAATACATGCATTATTTGTTTAGAAATAATATATATACTACATTATGTACACTAAAAATATAACAAATGTGATTAAGATGAACATTTCAAATTATTAATTTTTTATTTTCACTAAAAATTATTAAGTAAGAGCAATGAGACTTAGTATGCTTTTTTGTAAACTATGTGTTATAGATTTTAATAGAGTGATTTGACAGTTCAGTTATTTGGCTATGTAGTTCTAAGGGATATCAAAGTTGAAAAAGGTATCTTCGTAAAGATACATACATAGGTCCAAGTGGAAAAGACTCTCTCCTTGACAGCCTTTACTTTCTAAACTATGGTATTAGATCGTCGATCCTATCTATCAAATTTGTTTGAATTCATTTAAGTAATTATCTGTCTTGACAGCAGCAAAGCCTGGCCACTGAGCACACAGGATCTGAAACCAAGCTATCTAGGTTCAAGTCTGGTTCTGCTACCCGACCCTAGGAAACTACCAAGCCACTCTCTCTTCATCGGTTTCCTCATGTGTAAATGACATTTATAACAGCACCCACCTCTACAACCTTGTAAAGAATTAAATGAATGATCTGCATGAAGAACTTACCATGGTTCGGAATACCTCATCACTACATGGTTATTTTTGAAACAACCTTTTTGAGCCATCTGTCCCTTTTGAAAAATTAGCTTAGCTGAAATAGATTAAATCCTGTAGTCCCTAAGTCTACACTTGAATCATAATAGATTGCAACAGCACAAATGAGTAAGAGGGGTGATACTGTTAGCCTTTGGTACTATGCAACTCGCAATGACATAGGAACACTACACACATGGACAGAGTAGTATGGGTGCCAACGTCAACCAATTATTAAGAATTAGTAAAGCTTAACCTATACC